CCAAGCAATATACTACTAGATGATGATATGGTTGCACATGTTGCTGATTTTGGAATTGCAAAACTCTTGGGTGGAGGAGATTCTATTACGCAAACCATGACCCTAGCCACAGTTGGGTATATGGAGTGGGTATATGGCTCCAGGTATGTAGTTGCTAATTTAATATTTTTCAATTATGAACAACATAACTTAAAATGGTCTTTGCATCATACATATGATATGAATATTATTTAGATATATATAAGTGCAACTCAAATATAATTCATATTGCAGAGTATGGAATGGAAGGAATAGTTTCAACAAGAGGAGATGTGTATAGTTTCGGAATTGTAGTGATGGAAACATTCACAAGAAGGAAGCCAAAAGATGAGATGTTTGGTGGGGAAATGAATTTAAAGCAATGGATTGCCAGATGCAATGATAGATGAAGTTGCGGATGCCAATTTGCTTGAGATTGGGACAGAGCAGGAAGATGATGATCATGTGAGGAAGAGGGATTGCTTATTATCCATTATGCGATTAACTTTTGCTCGTTGTACAGAATCACCAAAAGAGAGGATAAGTATGAAGGAAGCTGTAGCCACACTCAACTAAATCAAGATGACGTTTATGAAGGATGTTGCTGCAGGAGGAGGTGTGCTGTTAAACCGTCCTCTTGCTGAGCACTTCAACTAATGGATCTTATGACTTAAATATAAGCTAAAGACATAGTGGGATTATTGGTGGTTGTGGTGGTGGTGGTGGCCGCAATTTTTTCCTTGACTTAAATATTTAATGCTAAAGTTCAGCTAGGAATTGTTTTCATGTTTGTAAGGAGCTTCTTCAATAATAATTTCAAGTTAAAGGTTGATTAAGGACTTTTAATTTCACCCATCTATTAAATATGTGAGTGTGTTAGCTGGGCCTAAGACATCTGCAGCCAACAGACCAGATTAGAAATACAAGATTGATGAGAGAGACTTTGTCTAAAATGTGCCCAATAAGATTTTCGGCAGCAAAAAATAGTCGGATGGAGATTTGGGATTCTCAAATAGATTAATTTTCTTTTGATATATTTGTGAAATAAGCAAAAACAATACCCAAGGGAATATGACATCTTCTTTTCTTTTTAGAGATTTCCGTGTAAATATTGTTGTATGAATTAATATTATGAGTGTTACATTTTATACTAAAAGTCATGAACGAGTACATAGGGTGGCTAGATTAGATTACATAAATATTGAAATTGTTGTAGACTAATAATGCTAAGGCCACAAAGTTAAACAGGCAAGGATTGTTAAATTGTGGTAGACACTATATCAGATGAGATATTTGATTTTCAAAATTTAGAGTTTTTTTGTAGTTTGATAATAATCTGAATGGCCTCATCCCATCGTCAATCTTCAATATCTCCACAATAGAGTAATGGAATTATATTTACAGCTAAGCTCGCCTAAAATGTTTCCCAAACGAGCCCTAAGAGTAATAGAGCTATATTTACACCTAAACCAACCTGAAATGTCTTCAGTTGGAATCGCAGAACTGACGAATCGAGTCAAACCGAGTCAACACAGAGGGAAAAAAACTGAGTTGACCAAAAAAGTCAACATAAGTTCAAAAGCCAAACTTGACTGGTTTGATTCAGTTCCGATTTGAATTTGTAACTTGAAAAGGCTGATTCGAACCGAACCGAACTAGCTGTGTTGATGAATGTCTAATTATTCAGGACATATCCAACTATTTTTTAAGGCCAACTAAAAAGCCCATATGTGTGTTCTAACCCAACTATTTGAATATAGGGGATGCACGCACGCATGCACTACTAAGTGCCCGTTTGACATTGCTTATTTGGGGTGATAAGTGATTTTAAAAAAAATTTGGGAAATCCAGCCCGTTTTGTAAACAGTGAGAAAATCACTTATCATTAAAAATTGCTGTGAGAGAAAGCTATAAAGCAGCTAATGAGGTGCTTTCATTTTTTGATTATGCAGGAATAAGTTTTGAAGAGGCGCTGGGTTTAATGATTATGCCACAATCATTTTCTGATTATGAGGAAATCAATACCAACAACACTTTTAACAAAAAGTTTACCAAATGCCAAACTGCTATCTCTCACAGCAAATTTGACAGCGATTATTTTCACAGCACAGCAATACCAAACTAACCCTAACTTTCGCTTTGCAACCTCTTCCTTTATTACAAGCCAAGTCCTTGCTACATTTCTTCTCCATTCAAGTGCACTTTGCCCTGCTCTACTTGGTCAACTGGTCAACCACCAATCCACATTCATTGACAAAAAAAAAAAAGCTTCACTAACCCACCAACCCATACTCACAAACCATAATGACGAATGTGATTATGGGCACAATTAATGTGTACCAGTATCCTTAATGTCTCCACCACACTAAATTAAGCGTGAGTGGGAAGGGAAGTGCAATTCTGATATAAGCATACATTTGACTATGTGACTCTTAATTGTGAGTGAGTGAGTGAGTGAGTGAGTGGTATTAGGTAATCTTTTCAGACCTTAACAAATAAGAAAATGAGAATATTTTAATGGGCTGTTTCAGCAACTAGTTGATTCCTCTTTCCATTTTGTGAGTAAAAGAGCATCTTCAAGAGTAGTAGCAAATAAAACTTTTTAAATTGAAGTTTGTTGACCTATATGGTAATTTAAAAAGCCTTATTTGTTATTTGAATTATTTTTGCTTTAACAAACTCTTCAATACAATTAATGCAACATTATAGAAAAAATATGAAAAATATGAAAACATGTGAAAAATGTCTATGTATTTATTATATGAAAAGAAAAAATGCGCGTTTTAAACATTTTCAATGTAGGTTTTGTTTTTTCAAAGTAAAATTAAATGTTTGAAGAGCCAAAGTCAACTTACCAATCATAAAGAGAGAAAAATAGGTTGCAGCTTTGATGACTAAGTTTGAAGAAGCTGTTTGTGAGAGTTTTTCTGATGTAACTCACCTATTTTAGAATTTCAAAGCTGTTAAAGAGACTGTTGAAGATGCTCTAATGGCATGGCAAACAGGATTGCAAACCTTGCTTTTGCTCTAACCGATTCGATCACATGGGTTTATAAAGGCACTTGTACCTATTATAAGATGACAAGTGTCATGTTGTGATTTGTTGAGTTAGTTAGATTGCTTAGTCGAGAAGATTACAATGTAATAATACATAAGAATCGTGTAGGCTGTAATTCATTCAATTTCAATAAGGAACAGAAATAGAAAACAAAATCTTTTTCTTCAATTCTCTCAGATTCTTCTCATTCTCTTTAATGTTTTCAGGGTTGGGGTCCCTCCTCAGCTCATTCATGACGTATTGGTTGAAGATATGTTTTAAATTGTTATGTTTTTTAATATATCTGATCGTTTCCTTCTACAACAAAAAAACAAATAAGAAATGAGAATTACTATAATGGGCTATCATTTCATTGAAAACATTGAAAAGTGAAACAAAAATGGGACCGGCAATTGAGTATTTCATCATTTAACAAACTTTGAAGTTGGAAGGAATCATTTTGTGAAAACAGATGCGTGGAAATTTCTTCCCCCCATGGTGCAATCATGTGTCCCACTCTTTGGCAACTTCATAGATTGGCACTGCAACAAACCGTCCTCTCCTCTTGTTCAGCGCTTCAATTAATGGATCTCAATTCAGACAATGTAGAGGAAGCCATGCCGTTTTGGTTATACTTGAGCCTGAATAACTGAATATTTTGATTACCAAAAACAAAGAATAACTGAGTATTTCTGAAAAAGACATGAAGAAATAAAAACTCAAAAGCTAAGAGATAAGAGGGATTATTGATGGCCATGGTGGTGGCGGTGGCCGCCATTTTTTCCTTGACTTAAATATTTAATGCTAAAAAATTCATTTGCTAAAGTTAAGCTAGGAACTGTTTTTATGCTTGTAGGGAGCTTCTCCAATAATAATTTTGAAGTTAAAGGTTGATTAAGAACTTTCCAGCCTTGTTTACACCTTGCGGCAAGTTAACAGGAAAGCAAACGTTCCTTTCCTACGTTTTAAATAGTGCACAGAATAATATTTGCAAGTATTAGTTATTGTAAAAAACTAGCTAACTTCATATAGTTTTCAGAAATTGAGAATGAAGAACCAAAATTTGCCCCAAATATGCCAAATGAGATGATGGGCATCAATAGTTAGATGCAAGAATAATATTTAAACTTTTTAATGATTGAATGGTTGGATTAAACCCTTCATTCAACCCCCTCACCCAAATCCCCCTCATTATAGCATTTCCGCAATTCAAGTCAAGTCAGGCATGTCCCGGTCCCAAATGAGGCTAAGGATGCCTTGCACGAAACTGCAATTAACTGCTTGCGAATTTAGTCCACGAGCTTGCTATCATGAGCCCCACTCTTTGGCACAATATTCTTTGTTTTGTATTGATGCATATATAAATCCTAGTTAGCATTTTCCCCATTATATATTATACACATACGTAAGTACATCAATTTTTCCATATAATACTTGTATTATATACATACATACGTACATATATAATGGTAGTTGAGGTACACCAATAATTCCATATTTATTGGGTATATGAATTTAAAGCAACGGATTATGAACTTACCATAACCTGATGCAATGAATTTAAGTCCCGTTGTACCTGAATAATTATATATTCCTATTAAAAAAAATGAAGAAAAAAATATCAGAGTGAAGGGCACTTATTATGCGAAGGAGACTGGATTGCCCATCCATATCTGATAGTAAGTTCTTGTACAGTATACATAGAGACATATAGAGACATATACGTACAGTATTGCAAGTTCTTGTACATTTGTGAAAATAGATGCCCAATTGTCCATTCTTCCTTTCTTACAAGTCTAAGTCGTTGCATTTGACTACTTGCGAATTTCTTCCACAAGGGTGCAATCATGTGCCCTACTCTTTGGCAACTTGTTTTGTCTTCATAGATTGGCACTGCAACAAATTATTCAATCATTTGAAGTTTTCAATCGGAAAGGAAAAAAAAAGGAAAAACACTTTGAAGTTGGAAGGAACTTCTCTGTTTTCGGTGCTCATGGAGGAGAGAAGTCATTTCCTCTTGTCAATCACGTTCTTGCTTGTGCTGCAGTACACTTCTCTATATATGGCTAAATTAACTCAAGGCACAGTAGGTGCAGCACAAATAAACATCACCACAGACCAGTCTGCTCTTCTTGCTCTCAAATCCCATATCACTAGTGACCCTCACAACATCTTGGTCAACTGGTCAACCACCACCTCCGTCTGCAACTGGGTTGGCATTACTTGTGGTGCTCGCCACCTCAGAGTAGCATCATTGAATCTCTCGTACATGGGTTTCACTGGCACAATTCCACCACACTTAGGCAACCTCTCATTCCTTGTTGCACTAAGCTTCAACAATAACAGCTTCCATGGTACTTTGCCCTATGAATTGTCTTATTTGCATCGCCTGAAGTTGGTTAGCTTCGGATACAACAACTTTGTGGGATCCATTCCATCATGGTTTGGGGCCTTCCCCAAACTTCAAGGCTTCTATTTGTATGGCAATCAATTTTCAGGTTCCATACCCACGACTATCTTCAACTTATCTACATTGCGAGTGATTGTTTTGAGCGGTAATCAACTATCAGGTACGTATATGTCAACGTTACATTTTAACCTTTTGTTATTAATCTATAAGCTCGGTTTGTTCTTTGAATGGTTGGATTAAACCCTTCATTCAACCCCCTCACCCAAATCCCCCTCATTATAGCATTTCCGCAATTCAAGTCAAGTCAGGCATGTCCCGGTCCCAAATGAGGCTAAGGATGCCTTGCACGAAACTGCAATTAACTGCTTGCGAATTTAGTCCACGAGCTTGCTATCATGAGCCCCACTCTTTGGCACAATATTCTTTGTTTTGTATTGATGCATATATAAATCCTAGTTAGCATTTTCCCCATTATATATTATACACATACGTAAGTACATCAATTTTTCCATATAATACTTGTATTATATACATACATACGTACATATATAATGGTAGTTGAGGTACACCAATAATTCCATATTTATTGGGTATATGAATTTAAAGCAACGGATTATGAACTTACCATAACCTGATGCAATGAATTTAAGTCCCGTTGTACCTGAATAATTATATATTCCTATTAAAAAAAATGAAGAAAAAAATATCAGAGTGAAGGGCACTTATTATGCGAAGGAGACTGGATTGACCATCCATATCTGATAGTAAGTTCTTGTACAGTATACATAGAGACATATAGAGACATATACGTACAGTATTGCAAGTTCTTGTACATTTGTGAAAATAGATGCCCAATTGTCCATTCTTCCTTTCTTACAAGTCTAAGTCGTTGCATTTGACTACTTGCGAATTTCTTCCACAAGGGTGCAATCATGTGCCCTACTCTTTGGCAACTTGTTTTGTCTTCATAGATTGGCACTGCAACAAATTATTCAATCATTTGAAGTTTTCAATCGGAAAGGAAAAAAAAAGGAAAAACACTTTGAAGTTGGAAGGAACTTCTCTGTTTTCGGTGCTCATGGAGGAGAGAAGTCATTTCCTCTTGTCAATCACGTTCTTGCTGTTATATATAATATGACTCGTTTTTTGTTGCAGTGCATTATATGTGCATAAATCATGAGTTTAACATATAAATGTGCATATATCTTAATGATTTTTCAGAAATTCCAAAAGAGATTGGCTTTTTACATCAGCTGGAGGAGTTGTATGTGCCATTCAATGCCCTAAAAGGCCCTGTTCCTGTGGCTGTTTTCAACATGTCTTCTTTGACTACATTGGCTCTATATACAAACAACTTGAGTGGTAGTCTTCCAGACAATATATGCCAACATCTTCCTAATCTTCAAATGGTTTCTTTGTCTAGAAACAAGTTTGATGGTCCACTTCCATCCAAATTATGGCAATGCACAAAGCTTCTTAATCTATCATTGGTGGAGAACAATTTCAGTGGAAGCATACCCAAAACTATTGGGAATTTAACAATGCTGAAGGGGATATACCTTGACTCCAACAATTTCAACGGTATATTTGTTGCATTGCCTTGCCTTGATGTGATCCAGTTATATATAATATGACTCGTTTTTTGTTGCAGTGCATTATATGTGCATAAATCATGAGTTTAACATATATATATATATATATATATGTGCATATATCTTAACAATTTTTCAGAAATTCCACAAGAGATCGGCTTTTTACATCAGCTAGAGAAGTTGTATATTGAGTTTAATGCCCTAAAAGGCCATGTTCCTATGGTTGTTTTCAACATGTCTTCTTTGACTACATTGACTCTATACGGAAATAGCTTGAGTGGTGGTCTTCCAGACAATATATGCCAGCATCATCCGAGTCTTGAGAAGGTTAATTTGGGTGACAATCAGTTTGCTGGTCCACTTCCATCCAAATTATGGCAATGCACAAAGCTTCTTAATCTATCATTGGTGGAGAACAATTTCAGTGGAAGCATACCCAAAACTATTGGGAATTTAACAATGCTGAAGGGGATATACCTTGACTCCAACAATTTCAACGGTATATTTGTTGCATTGCCTTGCCTTGATGTGATCCAGTTATATATAATATGACTCGTTTTTTGTTGCAGTGCATTATATGTGCATAAATCATGAGTTTAACATATAAATGTGCATATATCTTAATGATTTTTCAGAAATTCCAAAAGAGATTGGCTTTTTACATCAGCTGGAGGAGTTGTATGTGCCATTCAATGCCCTAAAAGGCCCTGTTCCTGTGGCTGTTTTCAACATGTCTTCTTTGACTACATTGGCTCTATATACAAACAACTTGAGTGGTAGTCTTCCAGACAATATATGCCAACATCTTCCTAATCTTCAAATGGTTTCTTTGTCTAGAAACAAGTTTGATGGTCCACTTCCATCCAAATTATGGCAATGCACAAAGCTTCTTAATCTATCATTGGTGGAGAACAATTTCAGTGGAAGCATACCCAAAACTATTGGGAATTTAACAATGCTGAAGGGGATATACCTTGACTCCAACAATTTCAACGGTATATTTGTTGCATTGCCTTGCCTTGATGTGATCCAGTTATATATAATATGACTCGTTTTTTGTTGCAGTGCATTATATGTGCATAAATCATGAGTTTAACATATATATATATATATATGTGCATATATCTTAACAATTTTTCAGAAATTCCACAAGAGATCGGCTTTTTACATCAGCTAGAGAAGTTGTATATTGAGTTTAATGCCCTAAAAGGCCATGTTCCTATGGTTGTTTTCAACATGTCTTCTTTGACTACATTGACTCTATACGGAAATAGCTTGAGTGGTGGTCTTCCAGACAATATATGCCAGCATCATCCGAGTCTTGAGAAGGTTAATTTGGGTGACAATCAGTTTGCTGGTCCACTTCCATCCAAATTATGGCAATGCACAAAGCTTCTTAATCTATCATTGGTGGAGAACAATTTCAGTGGAAGCATACCCAAAACTATTGGGAATTTAACAATGCTGAAGGGGATATACCTTGACTCCAACAATTTCAACGGTATATTTGTTGCATTGCCTTGCCTTGATGTGATCCAGTTATATATAATATGACTCGTTTTTTGTTGCAGTGCATTATATGTGCATAAATCATGAGTTTAACATATAAATGTGCATATATCTTAATGATTTTTCAGAAATTCCAAAAGAGATCGGCTTTTTACATCAGCTGGAGGAGTTGTATGTGCCATTAAATGCCCTAAAAGGCCCTGTTCCTGTGGCTGTTTTCAACATGTCTTCTTTGACTACATTGGCTCTATATACAAACAAGTTGAGTGGTAGTCTTCCAGACAATATATGCCAACATCTTCCTAATCTTCAAATGGTTTCTTTGTCTGAAAACAAGTTTGATGGTCCACTTCCATCCAAATTATGGCAATGCACAAAGCTTCAGATGTTTAATTTGGCAATAAACAGTTTCAGTGGAAGCATTCCAAAAAATATTGGGAACTTAACCCAGTTAACCATGATTGGGCTTGACACCAACAATTTCACAGGTAATTGTTTCATTAATTATGTTGTTCCAACTATGTTGCATAATTTATCATTATTTAACTATTTCATATTTTAATAAATGAGGGAGACAGTTAATCACGAATATAACAAATTGACTTGCCTAATAAACGTTCTATCTAAGTCAACATATTCACATCTAAGGTTAACCAAAGAATTGTATAAAGACATGCAAACTCCAACGTGTTTTGCTTCAGGACTTTTATTTTATTTTTAGAGATTTCTGTTTAAAAATTGTTGTATTAATTAATAGAGATATTTAGTCATATACCTATTTTTAGCACTAATAATATAGATAAACCCTACACCATTTAATTTTTTATAAACAAACCCAAAAAATGACAGCTGACTCTATTAAATTTAATTTTGATTATTATGAGTGTGACATTTTATACTAAAAGTCATGAAGGAGTAGATAGGGTTAGATTAGATTACATAAATCCACATATAGTGAAATTGTTGTAGATAAGGTTGTGACATTTGTGGCACTAGCAGGCACTATTCCATGGTCCTCAATATTCAATATCTCCACCATAAGAGCACTGTCGCTTAGTCGGAATCAGCTATCGGGTAGCCTCCCAGCGAACATAGGTCTTGGGCTTCCAAACCTACAACTCCTCTATCTTACAGAAGCTGGCCTCAGTGGAGTAATCCCCAACCTCTCCAATGCTTTTATGCTCACGCGGCTTGAATTGGCCAGAAACTCATTTACAGGGTTTATTCCTAGCACGCTATGTGCCTTAACAAACCTTCAGTCGCTTAAGTTACACATTAATAATTTGACGATTGATACTTCAACTCCAGAAGCAAACACTCTCTCTTGTTTGGCTAATCTTGGAAATTTGACATTATTATCCTTGACAGCTAATCCGTTAAATGCCAGACTTGATGACTCCTTTCGGAATTTCACTACGTCGTCGCTTCAATATATTGCTTTAAGCAAATGCAGCATGAGGGGTAACATTCCCATTGGTATTGGCAACATTAGCAGCTTGGTAACCTTAGCCCTGGGAGCCAATCAATTGAGTGGATCAATTCCAACTTCACTGGGAAGACTAGGGAATCTCCAACTTTTGGAATTGAATGATAACAAGTTGCGAGGGTACATCCCCAACCAACTTTGTCAATTAGATAACCTAGCTTACTTATATTTGAGTAGTAATCAGCTCTATGGTTCTATACCTTCTTGCTTGGATAATCTAACCGCATCTCTAAGATATCTATCATTGGGGTCCAATTCGTTGAGTTCCACAATACCATCTAAGTTTTGGAGACTTGCCTATATCTTGTCTGTAGACTTATCATCCAATTATCTAATTGGACATCTCTCACAAGATATTGGAAACTTGAAAGTTGTGACAGAGGTAGATTTATCAAATAACAATTTATCTGGTATCCTACCAAGCACTATTGGGGGTCTTCGGGATTTGGTTAATCTATCCTTGGCAAATAATAATTTGGAAGGCCCTATTCCAAGTTCATTTGACAGGTTGCTAAGCCTGCAACTCTTGGATTTGTCCAGAAACAATCTGTCTGGAGTGATTCCCAAGTCTTTAGAAGCTCTGTCACTTCTCAAGTATATGGATTTGTCTTTCAACAGGCTCCAAGGAGAAATTCCAACTGGTGGACCGTTCCAAAACTTCTCCGCTCAATCATTTGTCTCAAACAAAGCACTTTGTGGTGCAGCCCGACTTCAGGTTCCACCATGCAAAAATGGTACAGTTGAACCAAATTGGAGGAAAGCTAAATATATCATCCCAGGGATTATATCAGTAATTCTCTTTGTGGCCTCTGTATCTATCTTTGTACTATGCAGGAAAAGGAAAGTGGAAGTTGCAGGAGAGGCTACCTCGTTGCCTCAACTTCTTTGGAGAAGAGTTTCACATCTAGAACTTCTAAGGGGCACCCTAGAACTTCTAAGGGCCACGAATGGATTTAACGAAAACAACCTACTTGGAAGTGGGGGTTTTGGTTCAGTATATAAAGGGACACTTTCAGATGGAATAGATGTTGCAGTAAAGGTTTTTAGTTTACAGCTAGAAGGGGCTTTCAAGAGTGTTGATAGGGAATGTGAAATGCTAAGCAATATTCGTCATAGAAACCTTATCAAAATCATCAGCTGTTGCAGTGAAATTGATTTCAAAGCCTTGGTACTCGAATACATGCCTAATGGGAGCCTCGAGAAGTGGTTGTACTCTCAAAATTCTTTGAATATCTTACAGAGGTTGAACATAATGATAGATGCTGCATCTGCACTGGAATACCTACACCATGGTTATTCAATACCAATTGTGCACTGTGATATGAAGCCAAGTAATATACTACTGGATGATGATATGGTTGCACATGTTGCTGATTTTGGAATTTCAAAACTCTTGGGTGGAGTAGATTCTATTACCCAAACCATGACTCTAGCCACTGTTGGTTATATGGCTCCAGGTGATGTACTTGCTAATTTAATATCTTTCAATTCTATACATGCTGTCCTTAATTATGCATAATTTTCATTTAATATATATTCATACACATGAGTATATAAGTATAATTCATAATGCAGAGTATGGATTGGAAGGAATGGTTTCAACAAGAGGGGATGTGTACAGTTTCGGAATTGAATTGTAGTGATGGAAACATTCACAAGAAGGAAGCCAACAAATGAGATGTTTGATGGGGAAATGAATATAAAGCAATGGATTGCAAACTCACTAGTATTACCAGATGCAAAGATAGATGAAGTTGTGGATGCCAATTTGCTTGGGATTGGGACAGAGCAGGAAGATGATGATCATGTGAGGAAGAGGGATTGCATATTAGCCATTATGAGATTAGCTCTTACTTGCTGTGCAGAATCACCAGAAGATAGGATAAGTATGAAAGAAGCTGTAGCCACACTCAGCAAAATCAAGGCAAAGTTTTTGAAGGATGCTTACCGTCCTCTTGTTCAGCAACGCTTCAATTAATGGGTACTATCCTATGACATGTATTTCATGCACTTTTGATTTGATTCAATTTCAGTCTTTTATTTAGACAATTTTATGGTGGAGTGTGAAGACTTATTATATAATATACTAGTCTTGGTTTTTTTTTTTTTTTTGGTTCAACAATATACTAGTCTTGGTAGTTGTTATGGTATCAATATTATAGGAGGGTTTGTTCTGTTGTGTTGTGGCTGCAACCACGACCTCTTGGGAGCTCCACCGTTGCTTCGCTATGCCAAGAGGCAAAAAAAGGGCTGATTACGGCAGCCGGGAGCTCCATAGTTGTTGGGTTTGGGCCCTTTTGGGAGCTATTAGCCTAAAAGCTCAAATCATTCACACGTGACGGGCCTGAGCCCAGCAAAGCAAAATACTTAATTGAATTTGCGTAAACAGACCAATCCACCTACCTTAACTTTGTATCCAAAGATTTTCATAGAATTATGAATAAAGAAAGAAAAAATTGGTTGGAGAGGGTTTATGTTTAGAATATTCCCAAATGTTGGTTGGTTTTTTTCCATAGTTCCAATCCAAATTTCCTGTCATTCCATGGAGGGTTTGGTTTGGAGTTTTGTGGATTAGGTGATGCCTTATGTGCATATGTTAAACTAAACCTCCAAATTGATTCAAATTTAATGTATTTTATTCACCCAGCTGAACTTAGCCAAAGATCACGTGGCCTCAAGTCATTTATGTAGATAATGGTGATGAGTGGATGAAGTTTTCTTGCCCTGCTTCCAAATCCATTTGGAAGAATTGCAGACTGCAGAGCAATAACTAAAAGTTTGATTAATTGCACTCTACCCCTTAAAAGTCTAATTCCAAGGGTCCCACCAAGCATAACACATTATATATTAATTTATCTATTTATTTTCCATCTAAGCTATTTAAATGAATTTAAAATGAACTGGTATTATCATACGAGATGGTTTGGAATGGAGAGCTGAGTGGAAACCTTTCATATTAGCAGCAGGTTCCTACTTGCAATTACTCCTAGAGAGGAGAGAACCTCTTTGACTGAGGTCAGAGGTGGATATGACTATAAGGGTTTTTAGTCAAA